CCTGAACTCTGGGCCTGGGCACTGTCCCTCAGCTCTTCAGCTCAAGGCTAGCGCTCTACCACTTGAGCCACAGCGCCACTTCCGGCTTTTTCTGCTTTTGTCCTGCATGAGGCCCTTGAACCCAGGGCCTCATGCATGCAAGGCAAGCACTCTACCACTGAGCCACCTTCCCAGCCCATGGTGTATGTTTGTCAAAGATGATTCTAGATAAAAAATGCATTGGGGCAGGGCCAAGTAGAAGTCAGGAGGTCACCGAAGTCATCAGATTTATTTCCATAGTTGGATGTTTAGGTTATCTGAGGTGACTTGAACTGGGACACTTATTTTGAAGATAGAATTGACAGAGGCTGTTCGTGGACTGCACGTGAGAGAGAAGGAGTCCGACTGATGCTAAGGATTCTGGTATGGGCAACAGTTAGATGACATTTGCTAAAATGATGGGGAGAAGAAGAGATTTGGGAGGAAGATGGGTAGATTTAGTGATGGCAGAGAACATCTTGAACGAAAGAAAATGAGTGGGACTTAGGTGTGAGAGGACTTGGAGATGAACATGGCAATTAGAAGACAGTTAGAGTCCAATGACTGGATGAATGGGAGAACATAGATAACGCAATAGGAAAGGGAAAGAGCTGGTACCGAGAGTCTACAGAGAATTAGGGGGAAGATGCGGAGGGTCTGCCAAGGAAGGCAAGTTTCAAGAGAAAGAAGAAGGTGATCGCTTGTGTCAAATGCTGCAAGAGAGTCCAGTAAGATGGGTGGACCACTGAGTGGGAAGTGAGTGAACCCAATGGAAAACTCTTACGGAAACAGCTCCCTGCAGGACAACTTTGCCCCCACAAGATGCTTGTGTCCTGCCAGCTTTGTTTGTCACTAACTGCTACTGCATTTAGTGGGTACAGACTGGGAGTACTGCATCCTTCAACCGCAGATCACCCCTTTGCAATAATCATCATCTAGTACTGCCAAAGCTGGGAAGATTTACCCTAGAGGCAGAGGATACTGAATTTGGATGGACCCCTGGGTCCAGCCTTACACGGGAGCCTGCTCTGCCTGTCTTGGAGTCTTAGGGTATGTCTAGTAGATGTGGCAGAAAAAAAAAGCACCCTAGAGCTCATCTCTGCTCCCTGAGATCTGCAGGGCCAGGAAGAATTTCCCCTCTGCCACAGCTCTGTTAATTCTACCACAAGGGGCTAAATGCATACTCCATCTGCAATGGGAAGAATGTCCATGGGGGACTCCAACTCGCCATCATTGGACACCTCTTCCTGCCCACCCCCACCCCCTCCTCCCCGGACCTCAGACTGGAGCTGAAATTCCCCAGCAGTGAGAGAGGTGAGTTTTCTAGGTTGTTTTGGTTGTGTGCCTATCGTGGATTGCCAGGACCGAGAATAGAATCCGGACCCGGCAGACCATTTCCAAGTCCATAGCTACTTCAGCACTGCGGTAAATAATTAACACGCTTCTCCCTGCCACAGCTTTCCTTCCACCAGGAGCTCTGACCTTGTCGCTCCCTGCTTAAAAACCCCTCCTGGGTCTGCTCCCACACTGCTTCCTGCTAGCGAAGCCTTCCTGAGCACGTGCTCCCCGACCAGTCTGCGGGCCGTGCTTCTAGATCATACTAGCTCATGTGCGATCACCCTAGCACATGTTAGAACACGCTAGCACATGATCGTACTAGCTTATGGTAAGTCATGTTAGATCATACTGTCTCACATTAGATCCTCCTGGCTCATGATCTAATACTTGATCCTGTTAGACTACGGTAGCTCATGTTAGACCATACTCGATCATATTAGATACTTGGTCATGCAGGCTCATGCTAGATCATGCTAGCTTATGTTAGATCACACTAGATTGTGTTAGGTCGTGCTGGCTCTTGATAGTTCATGTTAGATCATGTTGGGTCATGCTGGCTCATATAGATATGTCAGATGATGCTACTTGTGTTCAATCGCATTAGATCATGTTAGTTCACATTGGCTCAGGCTAGCTCACGTGAGATCACTCTGATCGTAGCCGTAGCCTCACCAAGCCCCGCTCTGCGTCTTCTTTTATTCTCCCCCACCCACGGTTCTGGAGCGCCAGCACTCAGCAGATGCTCACTCACAGTCACGGAATGAATGAGTGAAGGCCACGGCTTCGAGTTTTTCTCCCAGCAGTGACAATTTCATAGCGAGTTCTATGAAAGAAGATGGATTTGTTACCATTAAGCTAGCAGTTGTGAATCAGGGTTCTTTTTTTTTTTTTTCTATCTGAGGCGTACTGCCTTATGGGCTTGTTCTTCCCATCCATCCTTCTAAATTGCCTGTGTCAGCATCATAAACAGGAGCGCATTTCCTGCTCGGGTGGGCAGACTCTGTTCCAAGATGCTTGATGCTAATGGATCTAAACCAGGGTGTGTGGGGGCCACCCCTCTCACCCCGCTACCACAGCACACCTGCTACCCAGGCCAGCCCAGGAGATTTTCCATCTCTCCCTGGAAACCTCTGAGCCACATACCCCAGATTGCCATTCTCAGTTAAGTGACCAGAGCTGGGAATTTTCCACAGGCTACCCTCTACCTGACAGTGATCATGCCCCCCTCTCCCCCACCCCGTGCTTGCCCCAGGGGTTCAGAGATCAGATCTGCCTAGCATGCACCTTATTCTCATATTTTGCAGTGCTGCTGTTTTCCATCTAACACTAGGGCTTTGAGTTTCAGCTCCTGCGAGTCCCTGAGCCTCCACTTTCATTCCTCTATCTAGTGGAGGATCTTGCAGGGTAAGATCATTAAAAAAGAAAATCAGCATGATTTCTGTAACAGAAAAAGCAAAGCACTGGAGAGGGTAAAGCTGACCTCTGAGTAGCTTGTTAGAAGGTTGATATGCAGCCTCTGGCTTCTGCCAACTTTCCATCGTGACTCTCTGATCATCTGCCAAGATTTCAAGGTGAAGACTCCAGCGGAGGAACGAGGAACTCGGAACAATCCATCGATGCATCAAAGCATGCCCGCAGAGGGACACAGGCAGATAGCTTATTCCCCCAAAATGGAGTTGGCCATTTTGGGGGTGCAAAACCAAATGTCCACAACCAGCTTGAGGACTCAGCTCAGAGAGCTCCCTCTCGCAGGCCACGGGTGCTGGCTAGGAGTCAAGTTGGCTTGTCTTGTTCCCTGGTTCACTGTGGGAATTCGTGAGCAGTGGCTTCCGTGACACAGTGGGGACCGTGGCATCTGTAATGGCCGCCTCAGGCCACCTTGCCACTCTGTCCCAGGGATGTGAAAGAACACACGGCTGCTCCATTTTCAGATATTCCTCCAGTATGCAGGGGAAAAGGGAAAAAGATACGCAGTTCCCTTGTGCAGAAGGTGTGTAAGTTCCGGGTTTGTGAGCAGGCGTGCTTTGGGTTGGGTTTGGTTGTTGGTTGCTTTTGAGTTTTGGACACAGCGGCTCACTGTTGGCCTCGAACTCCTCACCCTCCTGCCTCAGCCTTCCCTCTCGCCCTCCCTCCCCCCCTCTTTCTCCTTCCTTATTTCTCTTTCTCTTCCCTCTATCTCTTTTCCTTCCTTCCTTCTTTTTTCTTTTCCCTCTCTTCTCTTTGTCTTTGTCTTCCTCTTCTCTTTTTCTCTCTCTTTTTTCCTTTCTTCTCTATTTTTCTGTTCCTCCCTCCCTTTCTCCCTTCCTTCCTGTCCTTTTTCTTCCTATTAACTTTTTTCTTTCAGTAAGGCACTGATTTATAACCCAGGCTGCCTTTGAACTCAAAATCTTGACTCTACCTCCTAACTGCAGAGGTTACAGCATGTCATTATACATCCCTTGTAAGTGCTCTGTCACTAAACACTGAGTTGTATTGCCAGCAGTGTGTGTGCATATGTGTGTGTGAATATAATCTTTATTGAGTAATGAAAATATAAAGCAAAGGTGTCTCTAGACCAGTGATTCTCCAATAGGGACAATTTCACCCTTGGGGATATCTGGCAATTTCTGGTGACAGTTTTAGTTGTCCCAACTGGGTCTAGCATCAAGTGACTAGAGATGAGTTGCACCATTGGGCTTCCTCCCATGCCCAGGACAAACCCATACCCAAGTCCCAGCCCGCCTGTCTGCCAGCGGTGCCGACATGAGGATTCCCTGAGGTAGAACAATCTAAGGAAAGGAAACTCGATGAAACCCATCCACAGCCAGCATTTGTTCTCAAGTATGGACTGTGTACCAGACTCTGCTAGGCACCAAAGATCCCAGACCAGATCAGGTCAGCCCTCCGATGGCTTCCCTTCTACTGCCTTTTGGACCTGACCTTCTGTTTCCGAAAAAGGAAATTTCTCTCCCAGTCATTTTGAAGGATGTAAAGAGGTCTTCATCTGACTAGCGGTAGCGAGGGGCATTGTTTGCTCTGTTTTGGTGGTGCTGGGTCAGGGCTTCACACTGGCCAGGCAAGTGCTCTCCTGCCGAGCCACACCCCCTCTTTTTTTATTTTAGACATCAGATAAGAATTCCACAGTTTTTTGTTTTGTTTTTGTCCAGGTTGGCCTCCACAGCCATCATTTTCCTTAAAATAACCACCATGTTGTGATGACAGGTGTGCCCTACAACACTTAGCATTTTTATTGTGGCTGAGTCTCCCCCTGGTGGCCCATGCCAGTCATCCTAACTACTCAAGTGGCTGAGAGCTAAGGATTGTGGTTCAAAGCCAGCCCAGGCAGAAAAGTCCCAAGAGATTCTTATCTCCAATTAGCCACTAGAAAACCAGATGTGGTGCTGTGACTTAAAGTGGTAGAACACTAGCCTTGAGTGAAAGAGCTCAGAGACAGCACCCAAGCCCCAAGGTCAAGTCCCACACACAAAAAAAAAGGATCTCCCTAACTTTTTGCCCAGGCTGGACTTGAACTACCATCTTCCTATCTCCACTACCTGAATAGCTGGGATTCCAGGTATGCGCCACAAGTAGGCATGAGATGCTGGGATTCCAGGTATAAGCCACAATGCCGATCCCTAGAACATAGTAAACTTTTCTGGTGCCAGTTCTAGGACTTGAACTCAAGACCTCTCACTCTCACTTGGTTCTTTTGCTCAAACCTGGCACTCTGCCACTTGAACCATACCTCCACTTCCAGCTATTTTTTTGCTGATTAATTAAAGAAATTAAAGAGTTTCTCCAACTTTTCTGCTTGGGTTAGCTTTGAACCTCAGACCTCAGAACTCAGCCTCCTGAATAACTACAGTTATAGGCATGAGCTGCCAGCACCCAGAAGACTAGAGTCATGTTAACTGGGGAAATGAAGACAATTTTGAACTTCAAGAGCAATGAAGAAAATGGGATGATTTGCAGCTCTCCTAGTGATTCCATGGAACCCAAGCCAGATTTTTTTTTTTTTTTTGGTCAGTTGTGGGGCTTGAACTCTGGGCTTGGGCGCTGTCCCTCAGCTCTTCAGCTCAAGGCTAGTGCTCTGCCACTTGAGCCACAGCACCACTTCTGGTTTTCTAGTGGTTTATTGGAGATAAGAGTCTCATGGACTTTCCTGTCCAGGCTGGCTTTGAACTTTGATCCTGGGATCTCAGACTCCTGAGTAGCTAGGATTACACGCATGAACCACCAGTGCCCTGCTAAGAGATGACCCTTTTTAAAACTTAGCCTCCAGGTCTCTGGATTGTAGAGTTCTGGTGCAAGAAATCCTTAGCAGCCAGCTCCGAGGTCCCTCCAGGCTAAGTGTCTGTAAAATTCTGTCTTAACACAGAGAAAACAGTACAAAGAGAGATTCATCTAACTTTCCCCATAGCTGTCCAGCATGAGAGATGAAGTGCTGCTTGCTACGCTCAGCAGTCCCCTGAAAGAGAACTGAGAGGGCTGGGAATGTGGCTTAGTGGTAGAGCGCTTGCCTAGCATGCATGAAGCCCTGGGTTCGATTCCTCAGTACCACATACATGGAAGAGGCCAGAAGTGGTGCTGTGGCTCAAGTGGTAGAGTGCTAGCCTTGAGCAAAAGAAGCTCAGGGACAGTGCCCAGGCCCTGAGTTCAGGCCCCCAGGACTGGCGGGGTGGTGGGGGAGAGGGAGGGAAAAAGAGAGAGAGAGAGCAAGCAGAGAGACCAAATAGATAGTGCTGTCCTGAGCTCTACTCTTTAGCCCCAAAGTGCCTGCCCCAAACCACCCATGGGAGGCATGAAAGATTTTTCAGTGGTGCCAAATAACCAGCTGCTACCCAAAGCTGCCTCCTGCCAGGGCGCGCGCTTAAGTTCAATTTGTTGTTGTGTTGGTGTCATTTCCCTCCCTCTTGTCCTCCCCCCATCTGTTTCTTTCTGAGAGGAGCGCGGCTGTTCTGTGATGGGTTCCAAAGTCCTGGGGTCTAGGTGCCTCTTCTCCCCTCTAATGTGGGAAGAAGAGAAATCGCTGGCTGAAGTGACCCTCAGGGAGAGTCTTAACAAATGGGGCCAGGAAGTCTGGCAACTAGGGTGTTTTCTCAGCCGAGCCTGAAAGGCTGGAGAACTCTGCTGTCTCTCCAGATTTCCAGAAAGCTGACCCTTTGGATGTAACTTTTACATTTACATGAGGTGAGATCGAAAATCTTTTCAAGAATCTGCTTGTGGGGCTGGGAAGGTGGCTCAGTGGTAGAGCGCTTGCCTTGCATGCCTGAGGCCCTGGGTTCGATTCCTCAGCACCACATAAGCAAAAAGAAAAAAAAAGCCAGAAGTGGCGCTGTGGCCCAAGTGGTAGAGCGCTAGCCTTGAGCTGAAGAGCTGAGGGACAGCGCCCAGGCCCAGAGTTCAGGCCCCACGACCGGACCCCCCCCACACACACACACAAAAAGAATCTCTTTGTGCCAGGCACTCATGGCTCACACCCATAATCCTAGCTTACTCAGAAAGCTGAGATTTAAAGATCCCTGTTCAAAGCTAACGTAGGCAGGAAAGTCTGTGAGACTCCTATCTCCAGTGAAACACCAGGAATCCAGAAATGGAGACTTGCCTCAAGTAGTAGAGCAAAAAAAAAAGCTTAGGAACAGTACACAGGCCTTGGATTCAAGCCTCAGTACCATCACTAATTATTATTGTTATTACGTGGTTGGGCCAGGCATGGTGACTCAAGCCTATAATCTTAGCTACTTGGGAGTTAGAGATGGGGGAACTGCAGTTCTAGGAAAAAGAAGTCTGAGAGACTCCACCTCAACCAATGGATGAGCACGTGGCATTCGCCTGGTAGCCTAGCTACGGGGAGAGCACACGCAGGGAAGGCACAGCCATGCCAGCCCAGACATGAAACGAAAGCTACCATGCTTCTATGAGCAAAGCTGCTTTTGACTGGAAGGACTAAGCACCCAGTTCCATCTTAGAAAACAAGTTTTTGGGTTTATCCTCCACCCTTAAAGGAGAAATAAACTACTACATCATTTGCATGAATGAGCCTTCGTCCCCCCTTCCCCCCCCTTCCCCGTGCACACACACAGAACAGCCCCATTGCAAATCTCACCAGTGGGATTTGGTAATAAAATACCAGACCAAGTACGTCAAAATCAAGGCAAATAAATTCCTAAATGCCAAATCAAAGGCAGGCCTCTAGGTCTCTGTCAGGAGTGGAATCCGATTGTGACCTTGGGTCATCATTATCAATAGAAAAAGCCCTGTGTGGGGGAGTGTGGGTACAGGCTCTAGTTTGATCACTAGTACCACACACACACCTCACCACCACCACCGAAAAAAGGAGCTGAAGCCAGGTGCCATTGGCTCACACCTATAATCCTAGCTACTCAGGAGGCTGAGGATCACAGTTCAAAAAGCCAGCCCTGGCA